CTCTACAGGGGGGATGTGCAAGAATAGTCAAACAATGGTCTGGGAACGGTTTTCTGATTGTCTTCATATATATATATATATGTTGAATGAATATGTTTGGGGTACTTCTTAATTCTTCGTCCAAAATCCGCCTGTAGGCCCCAGGGGTGCGCTCGGGAGCTCGGCCCCCCTCGTCCCCCACCCCCCCTCCCTCAAACGGCATGGCGGGCCCCAGGGGAGGGGGAAGGGGAGAGGGGGGGCAGCCAGATGTCTCACACGCCGTTTCCCAGGCGATCGCAATCATGGAGTAAGGGGGCGTGGATTAGCGACGGATCTCGTTTCCATGAAAAATCGCGGATCTCCGCCGCCGATGGGGAGGGCACCTCCCCCGATCCATGGATTTGGCGACCGCGCGCCAAACCCATGGATCGCTAATCCATGTTTGCGCGCCCGTGAGTTTCACATCCGGAGAGCGGGGATCGGTGAATTAAGAAAACGTTCGAATCGTTGGGCCAATGATTTTTAACCAGCTTGCCGGAAAGTTGTTCCCGTTTTTGAGCACGTTCGCCTTTTCCAGCGTGAGCAGTCGAATTTTTCCCAGGTCTGTTTGAGGAGGTTGGCCCAGATGTCTTAAATTAATGATTTTCTGAATCAGATGTTCGGATGTAGTGGGGGAAGAGGATGTGGGGAGGAGGAGGAGGAGGAGGCGGAGGAGGGGGAGGCGGGGGACGCGGCGGAGGAGGAGGGGGGAGGAGGAGGACGAGGAGGAGGTGGGACGATGTGAGGGCGAGAGGGGGAGGGGGAGGAGGAGGAGGGGGAGGAGGAGGAGGAGGAGGAGGAGGAGGAGGAGGAGGAGGAGGAGGAGGAGGAGGAGGAGGTGGAAGTCGACGAGAAGGCGAAGAGGAGGAGGAGAAGGAGGAGGAGGCGGAGCAGCGGCGGCAGCAGGAGGAGCAGGGTTAAGAGGACGCGAATGACAAGAAGGATGATCATGAGGAGGGGCCTATGGCGGACCCGCGGCCTTTGTTCGATCGATGGCTGCTGGTCAGTACGATCGACGGCTTCGACGGGTTGCATCCGATCGATCGACATGAATCTTCGCTGCTCTGATACGCACGTTTTGAAACGTAACACGTGCCGTGTCCAAAACGTCCGTGTTCAAAACGTACGTGGTCAGTCTACGTGTTGAGCTCCATGTAAGTAGGCTAAGTGCTGCGCGTTGCGTATCGGGGCGGCTAAGATCGACTTACCGCCAGCTTTTATTCGGCCTCACTTAGTCGATTTACGTTTAAACGCGTAGGTACGCCTCAACCTAGCAAGAACATGTGTAACTTTGTTAAGCACAGCACCCAGCATAACGTAAGCACATGTCGAAGACGCTTATGGCAAATCACCGCCGTCCGCCTTTTAGAATACGCCTATGATGTGGCCAAACGTTCGGGCGACATTTGGCCACACTATTGGATCATATGTTCCCCAAGTCTTTGTGGAAGCCCTTCGGGGAACACGTGGGGGAGGAAAAGGATGAGGAGAGGGAGGAAAAGGAGGACGAGGAGAAGGATGAGGAGACCTCTTGGGAGCTTGTTGGGTCATTCTTGGGGCCTCCTGGGAGTACCCTGGGGGGCCTCTTGGAGGCCTCTTGGGGGCTTCTTGGGGGGCTTCTTGGGAGCCTCTTTGGCCGTTTGAGGGCGTTCCTGGCCCGTCGGAAGCCGTCGCGGGAGCCTCTCTGGACTGTCTTGGGGCCGTCGCGGGGCGCTTCGGGGTCGGCCATCTTGAGCCTCTCGGAGGCCTCTTGGAGGCCTCTTGGACCGTCTTGTGAGCTTGGGCCATCCTGGGGGCCATCTTGGAGGCCTCTTGGGCGATGTTGGGGCAATCTTGGGGGCCTCTTGGACCGATTTGGGCCGTCGGAAGGCCGCTTTGAAGCAAATGCCACAATCCTGCCAACTCCTAAGGAAAAAATGAGGAGGCCTTCCTGGAGGAGCTCTTGGAGGCCTCTTGGACCGTCTTAGGGGCCTCCTGGGCTCTTCTTGGGCCGCCTTGGGCTCTCTTGGACTATCCTGGCGGTTTGGGGGGCATCTTGAAACCGTCTTGGAGGCCATGTTGGGATTATCTTTGGCTCGCTTGGGGCCATCTTGCCCATCGTGGAGGCATCTTGGAGGCTATCTTTGGCCAGCTGACAAGGCCAGCGATTCCGCATCTTCTTAAAGTCGTTGCGCTTTCCGTTCCTGTGCCAAGCAGGTTTAATGGTTTTCGGCCCATCTCGCCGCCGTGCCTGGGCTGTGGGTCAGAGTCCTCATGGATGCTTCTTGCGGACTCTTCGGAGGGCTTTTGGTGGCGTTTGGTCGGCAATTTTGATACATCTTGGGAGCCTCTTCTGAGGGCCTCTTGGGAACCTGCCTCTTAGGGGCCTCTTGGGGTGCCTTTGGGGGCCTCTTGGGGACCTCTTGGGCCTCCTGGGGCTTCTTGGGGTGGAGAAATCGACACGTCCGTTAGTGTTTCCTCTCTGGGATCCCGTTTGGGGGGCGTTCTTGGGGCCCGGGTTTGAGCCATCTTGGAGGCTTCTTGGGCCGGCTTGGGGGTCTCTTGGCCCTCTTGGGGGCCTTTTGGGCCGACTTTGGGCGATCTTGGGGTCCGCTTGGGCCGTATTGGAGCGACAGAACCCGAAAGGCGGAGACCACCAAATTCTTAAGAACCAATCAAACATCAATGATTGTTGCCTCTTAGGGCCCTCTTGGAGGCCTCTTGGGCCGTCTTGGAGGCTTCTTGGGCCGTCTGGAGGCCCTCGCGGACGTCTTGGAGCGATCTTTCGGCGAATCGGAAACGTCTTGGACAAATCGGAGAGTTCGAGAGGTCGTTTTGGGCGGGCACAGCGTCCAGATGACAGAAAGAAAACACCCCAGAACTTATGGGAAAAACCAGAAGACCCTGGAGAACTTCAGGACGGCCTCGGACTCCAGAGTTCCAGGGCACCGTGCCCGCGGCCCACCCCGCGACCCACCCGCGACCCACCCGCGCCCGCCCCCTCGCTCTTATCCGCAACTGCGGGATGCGGGCGGGTCGCGGGGCAGGTCGTGGGTGGGACGACGACGACACACCACAAGAGGCAGAACCCGCGCCGCGAAATTCTTGTTCGGCAATGCACCCGGGGACGGCGAATGACCCTTCGGCTCCCTCACTCCGACAGATCTCCCGGCCTCCTCGAGAGCTGGCCGCGCCAGCAGTCCGGGCCCGGCCCTGCGCCGCGGCGCCCCCCCCTGCTCGGCACGGCCGCGGGGCGGACGGGAGGGCCGCCGACGAAGCAGGTCCTGGAGGTGTTGCTTCATCTCGGGTCTCCCAGGGCTGCCAGTGCTTCTGCTCTCGGCCAAGAAGCCATTTCTTTATTGCTTGGGGCATGACGGGCGTCATGGCCCCCGGCCCCCCCCCCCTATGACGTAATGCTCCCCCCGCAGTGCGCTCCGGGCGGTACCGCCGCGTGCGTCGACACCCGCATAGTTGTCCGCAGCGGATTCTGCACAGGAGTTCGGTCTGGTTGAACCAAGACGGCAGCGGCAGCCCCAAAAACAGCAAGAGCACGGCAGTAACAAAAAAAAGCGGAACCAGACCGAAAACGGCGCGAGCGAGAGTCCCACAAAGGAAAGACGAATCCAAAGCACAAACAAAAACGATCTTGCGAACGGACGGAACCAGTGCACCCACCGTTGTGAACATGATCGAAGTCCCTTGGGCCTCTCTCTGGGGAGGCCCCCGGGAGTTTGGAGATACAGTCAAAAACCTTAATAAGGACGCGCGACTTTGCTCAGTGCGTCCTTACTCTTCCTTGCTCTTGCGTCCTTGAGGTTTTCGTCGTCCGCCGCCCCAAAAATCTCAACTTCGGCTTCCAAGGGTCTTGCGTCCTTACCGTGCGTCTTATTAGGGTTTTTGAGTGTAGTGGGAAGCCCAGGGGGGCCACCGGGGGGAGCCCCATGGGGGGAAGTTCCATGGGGGGGAGTTCCATGGAGGGGAGCTCCCCCGGGGGGGGAGGCCCCCGACGTCATGAATTTTTCATGACGTCGACCCCCAGCGGTTTCCCCGGGACCGGTTCATCGTCCTGAGTCGTTTTTTGACGGTCCGAGGGCCGGTAAGGGCCCCCAAAGGCCAACAATGATGAACAATTTCCCGTCGTGATTTTTGTCGTAACTCGAGGGGGTCTGGGAGGGGAGCTCCCATGGGGGGAGGCCCCCAGGAGTTTGGAAACAGTGGGAAGCCCAGGGGAGCCCCCGAGGGGGGGGAGCCCCATAATAAGGGGGGGAGCTCTCCCCGGAGCTGGGAGGCCCGAGGGCCCTTTTGCAGAATTCAGGGCCCTTGGGAAGAGCGAGTCCGGGGAAGAAGCGGGTCCCGCGGGAAGCGGTGCAGGGTCCGGGGCCCCGGGAGGAGGAGGAGGAGGAGGAGGAGGAGGAGGAGGAGGAGGAGGAGGAAGGGGGGAGGGAGGGGGAGGAGGGGGAGGAGGAGGAGGAGGAGGAGGAGAGGAGGAGGAGGAGGAGGAGGAGGAGGAGGAGGAGGAGGAGGGGGAGAGGGGGACGAGGAGGAGGGGGAAGAGGGGGCGGAGGAGGGGGAGGAGGGGGAGGGGGGGAGGAGCAGGGGGAGGAGGGGCGAGGAGGGGGAGGGAGGGCGAGGTGGACAGGCAGGACGGCCCCGCCCCTGCCGCCTGGTCCCTCCCCCTCCCATCTCTTTTCTATCTCCTTCCTTCCTCCCCCATCCCCCCTTCAGCGGCAGTCTTGAGCGGAGTGTTACATGTGACTTGGCCAGCTCGGCGAGCCGCATTCAGTGTCGCAAGAGTCGCAAGGAGGAGGAGGAGGAGGAGGAGGAGGATAGGAGGATAATAATACAAACCTATAGTTTATAAATCCGTTGAGTTCCTCCTCCTCCTCCTCCTCCTCCTCCTCCTCCTCCTCCTCCTCCTCCTCCTCCACCGCCTTCTCCTCGTCCTCCTCGTCCTCCTCGTCCTCCGGTTCCTGCTCCTCCAACTCCTCCGACACCTCCGACAGGCGGACAACGCGGTAGCCCACGACCTCGGCGCCCTCAGGGAGAGCCTGGAGCAGATGCAGGACACGGCGCCGTGAATCGAAAAAGCTCCTTGACCGTCGACGTCTGGGCGCGGCGGAACAGATTTCACGTCAGGTGTCTTCGCCACATGGCGGATTCCAGGACCCTCGGGGCTCAAGAGATGGGGGGTCAGCCAAGTCGCCGGATCTCGCAGGATGTTGTGGAGCCAGGGCCGCGTTGACCCGGGCTGGCGCGCAGGATCTTGCATGATCTTGTAGGGTCTTGAAAAGCCTGATTGTCCCAGGCTTGACCCTGGTAAGTAAATCCCCGACCTCACGGGTCGATTCAGACGGGGAGGCCCTTAATAAAGATGGTGCCGAGAGCTCCGGTTGTGGTTCCCACGGCGAGGGCACCAGTCCGCTCTGTCGGCAGGGGGCGAAGGTGAGGTCAGAAATCAGTTCACGACATCTTCGTGGCCCCTGGAAGGGACAGCATGCCAGCGGTTTCGGAGCTCACACCACGCCTCATCGAGTCACCTCGGGCAGGACGTGGGCGGCGGCTTCCGTGCTGGCCCCAGGGTTCCGCAGCCGCTCGCCGTGCAGCGCTCGTTCGCCGAGGCCCCCTCATGCGGCGTGGCCTTGCCACGCGGCGGGCCCAGAGGAGGAGGAGGAGGAGGAGGAGGAGGAGGAGGAGGAGGAGGAGGAAGAGGACCAAGAGGAGGAAGAGGAGGAAGAGGAGGAAGAGGGGGAAGAGGGGGAGGAGGAAGAGGGGGAGGAGGAGGAGGAGGAGGAGGAGGAGGAGGAGGAGGAGGAGGAGGAATAGGAGGAGGAGGAGGAGGAGGTTTGTGCCAGCGCGGCGAGCACGAAGTCGGAGGGCGTGCGGGCGAGGGCCTCTCGCCTTGGGCGCACCTCGCTGCGGGCGGCAGGCTCGGCGGACGTCGAAGACACGGCGGCGGCTCCGCCCACGGAGGGGCGGGAGGCTGGCGTAGCCAGGACCCCGGGTAAGGGGGCCCGGTTAGTGGTAGGGCCCTGGAGCCCCTCAAGTGGCCAGATTCACTACAGTCAACGCGCATAGTAAGGACAAACGACTTTTTCAAGGGTGCCCTTGGGTCCCTGCCTGCCTCAGCCTCTGCGGCCCGTCCCTAGCAAGAATTCGCAGGCCAGAATACTTCAAGTTCGGCCTCCAAGGGTCTTGCGTCCTTACCACGCGTGGTTTGCCGTAACTGTTGTTTTTCGTGTGACGGCAGTTCCAGTGAGAGGAAATGGGGCGGGGGGGCGCCCCCGGTACAAATCACTGAACCAGGTTCCACTGAACCCAGTTCTGCCAACGCCCGAGGGAGGTTGGCGTGAGGCCCTTCATCGAAACAGAACAAACACATAAACATCAGGTTTTGGCGCTCCGCGCGGATTTCTTGGACTCGCGCCGCCAGGGGCGGCGCCGGAGGCGCCGCTGAGGGGCCCAGGCGCGGCTCCAAGAAGTCCGTGCGGAGCGCCGCAAGTTTATGTTTCTGTTGTTTTGTCTTCTTCGCCAGAAGGCGGCAGAAGTGACAGTGGGGCGCCAGCATCTTGCGATTCGGGGCTTCCGGAGACGACGATGAGGGAAGGTGCTCCTCCAGGAGAGGGAACCTGGAGTTTCTGTGCGCTGGTTCTGGCCTCCCGGGGCCTGGGGCCCGCTGCAAAGCTTAGCGGGCGAAGCATGGCAGAACATACAGTCGGGGCGTTGAAGAAGGAACCCTGTTCGTTGGGGAGGGGCTCCGTGTTTCTTGATTGTTTGACAGTTTTGCCCCACGTTTTACTCAGATTTTCTAGGAAAAAGGGGCCTCGTTCCTAATTTAGGGTTCCTTAGGTCAACGCCCCGACTGTACATTCTTTTTCGTGACTGGGGGCACGCCTGTCTCAGGGCGGCTGGGAAGTTTCTACCCTGACGTGCCACCGTAGGGGTAGAAGCTTTCCAGCCGCCCTGGGGCAGGCGCCCCCGACGGCGAAACAGCTCATTGGATCGCTTTCTTCGCCCGTTGGGAGACGACTCAGGACGACTACGGTAGGTTCGTGTCGTGTCGACTGGCGGCGACCCCGCCAGTGGCGTTCAACGTTGAACGCTGCGGGCGACCCAGAATCGTTCGATGTGGCACGATTTGGACGTTCCGGAAGCGGCCGATGGTTCAAGTTGGAACGATCCCCGAGGTGTCAGGAGCCAACGCCCAGGTCGACCCGACGCGAACTTGCCGTAGACTGTCCCAGAGAGAGCTCCGGCGTCCAGGGTCCGCTCCCCGCGGGCCTCGCTCCAGCTGCCCGAGGTGCCGTGAGGAGTGCGAGGCTCCGAGCGTTCCGAGGGCCCGGGGCCCGCACCGTGTGGTGAGACGGTGGGGATTTGGGTTAGGGGAACGAAAGATGACATGAACATAATAGAAGGCGCCCAGGAGGCCCCAAGAAAGGCCCCAAGAGGCCCCCAAGAGGCCCCCAAGAGGCGCCCAAGAGGCCCAAAAGAGGCCCCAAGAGGCCCCAAAACGGCCCCCAAGAGGCCCCAAAACTCGGCTAGCCCACAACGGTGCGACAATATGGGCCGGCGGAATGAGCGAAGCGATTAAATAAACGTAATAGCTCGGAGGTCCGCGCGGACCTCTGAGTTTTTATGTTTATGTCACTTTTTGTTCCCCTATTGGGGTCACCGCACGGCTTTGGGTCTCGAGTCCCTCTTCGGGGACGTCTCGGGCGACAGGGGCCTCCGGGGTCCCAGAGCCTGGCTGTGACGGACCGTGCGGCGAGGTCTTGGGTGGTGACGAGGCCACCGCACGGTCCGTCACCGCACCGTCTCGGGATTCGTTTCCCTCAGGGCTCGCTCAAGAACCGGAGGTTTCGTGAGGATTTCGAGGCCTCGCGAGCTCCGAAGGGCCAGGTCCAGGTCCGAGACCCGAAGGTCCATTCCAATACCTGATGTCTCGCAGGGATTGCAAAATCGAGCGTCCCGAAAGCATGGATATGCAGTCGCACCGAGGTGCAAGATCGAGGTCGATTCAGGGAGGGGGCCCTCATTTCTTCGTGCTTGCTGGATGCTCTTGTGCATCCTGCGGAGAGTACCCTTGGATGTCCTGTGTGTTTGGGCCGGCGGAGGGTCTCTAGTTCTTGAATAATGATTTTATTTATTAGGGCCGATTGTAAACAACATATGGTTATGCAACCTGGATGTTTACAAGTATGCGCGCGCTGCTTCGGTGTCGTAAAAAAGAGTGTGGGTCTTTCAACATGTTCACCAAATACGACCGAACGGGCCAGTCGCGCGTGAATGCTGCGCGCACACTCGTTTATCACAGATCGTCAGTTGTTAAGAATCCCGTGCAAACGTTGGGACGAAGAGCGTCGTCGCGCGCGCATGCCGAAATCACTCGAAAAGCTTAGGTGTCGTAGGGAGTTCAACGGCGAGTGCCCCGAACACAGAAAAACATATGGTTTCGCAACATGAGTATTCAGACAAGTATGCAGGCTGTTTCGAATGTTTGGGAGACCATCGGGTTTTCAACATGTTCATCAAATGTGACCAAACATGCCATTCGCGCGCGCATGTCGAAAACATTCGAACGCCCTTGCGTTCACGCTTGGGAGGGAGGGTACGATCCCTGTCAAATAATTCCATGCGGGCCACTCGCGCGCGTCGGTCGCGCGCGCATGCCATATTCCGAGGACACCATCATCGTCATCGGCGTGATCAGCATCGGCGCCATCATTGCCCGTCGTCATTGCCATCATCGTCACCACCATCGCTATTATCATTATCATGTCTGCCGTTGCTGACGTCACCATGATACCGCACGCGCCCGAGTCACCGACTCGCACTGATGCGCCCGCGCGCCAGCGCGGCTTGCGGGACGTGCTGGGAAGTCCCCAGCGGTCAGCGCTTTTGCGGCCGCGTCCGTCGCGCGCGAGCCTGCACGCGCTAGCGCGACCCAGCGATGCGCCAGCCAGCCCCAAGGAGTCATCGCAATCGCCCTCGCGTGAGTTTTGCAAACCAAGTTGCGAGTGGGTGGTTGGGATGATTGCGCTAGCAATGGATTTGACAATTCGATGCACTAAAAGTTAATGGCGCTCCATAGAGTGCACTAGATATAGTGCTCCACACCAAGGAGGAGGGCGATCGGCGGCAGAGGGGGCTGAGAGGAGGGGAGAATAAGCAAGGGGATAAGGAAGGGAAGGACAATAAATGGGCCTTCAAATTTGCGCCAAGGCCCGGGAGCATCCCGCGACGGGGCTGGCGAGGTGGAGCTCGCCACCCGTCCCCACCCTCCTTCCGTGCACCTCCCGCCAATCCCCCCCCACTTCCCCACACCCCTCCTGTCCACTCTTCCTTGGCCACCCGCGTGCGTGCGAGGATTCTCACGCTCCGCGCGCCGCGGTCTGGGCCAGAGCGGCTGCTCTCCTCCAGGTGGGCGGCGCGAGGGCCTGCGGGCGCGGAGGGAAGCGCGCATCGCGGGGCGTGGGGCTCCAGGCCCGAAGCAGGGGGGCCGACTCTTTCCCTCCGCCTCCCCCAGCCCCGCCCCTCTCCGCCACAGCGCCCTCCCCGCGCTGTGATGTGCTCCCCCCTCTGCGGCGCCCTCCCCCGTGCCCCCGCGGCGCCCCGCCCGCCAAGGAGGGACAGGCCCCGACCTTCGAGAAGGCCAGGAAAGGGGGGGGGGAGGGGGGGGGGCGGAGTTCTGCGTTTGCGCAGGCAGTGTTCTGCGGAGCGCCGCGCCCTGGCGCAAACGGCCGAGCGACCCGTCTGCCAAGGCACGTTGCTGACACGGCGAGCGGCCTCAGGCAGGCGGCAGGCGTGCTTTCACGCCCTCGAGCACGTGTGATGATTATGATTATGATGATGATGATGATGATGATGATGATGATGATGATGATGATGATGATGATGATGATGATGATGATGATGATGATGATGATGGATGAGGACTCTGCTGATACTGATGCTGATGCTGCTGATGACGATGATGGGGAGGGGGAGGATGCTGTTATCGATTGAACGCAGGCTGCGCAACGACGCCCACATCGAAATCGACGACCGTCGAGCGGGCGCCGGAGGGTTCGCGTCGGGCTGACCTGCAGGGCTGCGGCCCGCGCGCCCTGCCCCGTGGCGGGTCGGCCGTCTTGGCCAGGCACGGCGCGCCTGGCGTCGTCTCGCCACAGCCTGGCCTCGCGGTGCGGGATCGGGCGGCGTCACTGCTGACCTGTGCGTGGTTGGTTGCCGTCGTCCAGGCGGCGGGCTGCGGCAGGGCCGAGTCGCGGGAGGGGGTGGGAGGGAAAGGATGGTGGAGGCTCTGCACGGACGAGATGGGCAGGGAAAGAATGGGTACAATGCTCAACAGCAGTTCCTGTTCAGTTTGAAGCACCGCCGCGGCCTGTGTCCATTCGAGACAGAAGGCCGCCTGCCCAACAGCGGCCGCTGTTGGTTTGGGACAACATTTGTTGTTGGGCATTGTACCCATTTTTCCGTACCCATTTCGGGCGTCAAAAGTGGGGGAGGGAGCAGAGTGAGGACCTGCTTTTCTCTGCCCAGGTAGGGGGGACGGAGGAAGGGAGAGGAGAAACATGGCAGCAGTTTGCGGAGGATGAGGAGGAGGGTGAGGGGGTGGAGGGGGAGGGGGGGGAGGAGGAGGAGGAGGAGGAGGAGGAGGAGGAGGAGGAGGAGGAGGAGGAGGAGGAGGAGGAAGTGGAGGAGGGGGTGGAGGGAGGAGGACAAGTGTAAAGCCAAGATCCATCAACGATATTGTAAAACACCCTCCCTCCAAGCTCCCTTGTCTATCACAGGCTCCTACAAAGCTTCATTTTCGCGGAGGGAACTGCCCCGTTGGGAGACAACCTTTCGAACAGTTTGGCCGATGAGGATCTTTGATACCGATGTAAGCTCTTACGACGAGTTCGTTAAGACGAAGGTGCGCGGTGCTTGAGCGAGAGCCAAATGTTGAAAACGGAACGGCCCGCGCTCCATCCGTATAATGTTTGCAAACGTTTGAGACGAAGGTGTGTGCGGCGCGAAGGCGAGAGTATTAGTCTGAAAACGGCCCACGCTGAATCCGTGAAGTGCTTTCAAATTTTTCAAACGAAGGTGCGCGGAGTTCAGGCGAGAGCCACACTTTGAAAACGACCTGCGCTCCATCCGTAAAACGCTTGCATTTTTGTTCAGACGAAGGTGTGCGGCGCGAGGGCGAGAGCCACGTTTTGAAAACGGCCCGCCGTCCATCCATCAAGCTCCTGAAGACTGTGAAGGCGAATGCGGGCCGCGCCAGGCGAGAGCCACGGTTGGAACACCGCCCGCCCTCCACCCGTGACATTCTTGCAAAGGGTCCAGACGAAGGAGTTCGGCGCCAATGCTCAGGAGCGAAAGAAGGACGTACATGTACATGAATCCACGCTCGTTTCGAGAGTACGCATTGTGCAAATGTTCGTACAACGCGGCCGGTCTCCCTAAATGCGAGAGCCACGTTTTGCGAACGGCCCGCCCTCCATCCGCGAAATGTGTGCCAGATCGCGGCTTCAGGGTCGTGAGTGGGACAGGCGGCCCGGACTAGTAGGTCGACCCTGCCGGATCAGGGGTACCCTCGTGTCCTGCATCTTGCGACCCATGCTTCCTGCATTTCTGTGGCAACGTGGCCCTCGGAAGGGTCTTGTGTCCTCTCGCGTGTCCTCTCCAATCAAATCCGACTGTACGAAAGTCTCCAGCGAAACGCCCGGCCCGCCCGGCCGACGCCTTTCGGGCCGCGGCAGGGAGGAGTTTGTTCACAAGGAAAAGTGGAGTGGAGGAGAGGCTCTGGCGTGTGTGGCAGGATTCTTGGGTGATGGGGTCGGGGGAGAAGGAGGAGAGCAAGCAGGAGGATGAGGAGGAGGAGTGAGAAAAGTACTAGGACGAGATTGATCAAGAGGAGGGAGGAGGAGGAGGAGGAGGAGGAGGAGGAGGAGGAGGAGGAGGAGGAGGGAGAGGAGGGTGAGAATGTGAACGACGACGGCGATGAGAAGAAGGAGGACAGGACGAGGAAGAGGAAGGCGGGTGATTGACGCGGAGGGGAAAATCGAGATTGAGAAGGAGGAGGAGGAGGAGGACGACGACGACGTCGACGGCGTCGCGCGGGTGTCTGCTCGATTTCAGAGCTGTCTGGAGGGTTGCACCGCGGCGAAGGGCCGTGGGGGCATCGTGAACACTCCAGCGTCCACCAGTGCAGCAGCAGTGGGCAGGCGGTGAGGGCAGAAGCGAGGGGAGTACGCCGCAGTACGTAGCGGCAGTGGGAGTGGCAGTAGCTTGGCATCGCTCGGACGTGTGCGGTTTTTCCTCGGCGAGGACCATCGAGGACCATCCTTGATCATTTCGCGAAAAAACCACGCACGAAACCGAAAAAAACACAGGAAATGGACGTCCGAGCGATGGCCAGGTAGAGGTTGTATATAGGTCGTGGCAGCGGTGGTGTTTGGGGCGGCCGAACCGACCAGTACGGTCGGTTCATGCGGCGTTGGCACGCCGGCGACGCCAGCGAAGGCGTTCAAGGTCGAATGTTGCGACGCAGAAGCACCGAGGGACACGGTGCCGCCATTGGACCCAGCGGAATTCAACCTTGAACGATCGGGGCCGCGATCGATTACAGGTTGATCGATCGACGGTGACAAAACCTTCGCGCGCGCCGACGCCACACGAACCTACCGTAACAAACCGACCCTTTTCGTGATGGCTGCGCAGCAGGCGTCGCTCCATCACGCGGGCAGGCGGCCAGAGGGGAGCTTCGACTGTAGGAGGAGGAGGAGGAGGAGGAGGAGGACGACGAGGAGAGGAGTAGGAGGAGGCGGAGGAGGAGGAGGAGGAGGAGAAGCAGGAGGAGGAGGAGGAGGGGGGTCGTGACCGAAGGGATCGGCTGGGCCGCGCACGGTTGTGTTTGTGGCAGTGCCGCAAGCAGTACCAAAGGCAACGGTGGTGGTAAAGGTACTCTGGGTTTCTTGATAAGCGTGGGGGGGATCCCCCCCGACGGGGGTCAACCTCGCCTCGTCGTCGCGCCGCGACGGGGGTCGGAGTACCTTCGGCGCGCGGTAGCTGCCCGCGACGGGGGTCGATGTGGCGTTGTCGGCGGGGGTGACGCCCCCCGACGCTTATTAAGAAACTCGGAGTAGTCACGGCGGTGATGGTAAAGGGCAGCGGTGCCACGAGCAGTACCAAGGGCAACTGTGGTGGTAAAGGTACTCCGAGTTTCTTACTAAGCGTCGGGGGGGCATCACCCCCGCTGACAGCCCCACATCGACCCCCGTCGCGAGCAGCCGCCGCGCGCCGAAGGCGCTCCGACCCCCGTCGAGGCGCGACGCCGAGGCGACGCCGAGGCATGGTGGTAAAGGTATTCTGGGTTTCTTGATAAGCGGGGGAGGGGGGCGTCACCCTCGCCGGGGGTTAACCACGCCTCGTCGTCGCGCCGCGACGGGGGTCGGAGTACCTTCGGCGCGCGGTAGCTGCCCGCGACGGGGGTCGATGTGGCGTTGTCGGCGGGGGTGACGCCCCCCCGACGCTTATTAAGAAACTCGGAGTAGTCACGGCGGTGATGGTAAAGGGCAGCGGTGCCACGAGCAGTACCAAGGGCAACTGTGGTGGTAAAGGTACTCCGAGTTTCTTACTAAGCGTCGGGGGGGCATCACCCCCGCTGACAGCCCCACATCGACCCCCGTCGCGAGCAGCCGCCGCGCGCCGAAGGCGCTCCGACCCCCGTCGAGGCGCGACGCCGAGGCGACGCCGAGGCATGGTGGTAAAGGTATTCTGGGTTTCTTGATAAGCGGGGGAGGGGGGCGTCACCCTCGCCGGGGGTTAACCACGCCTCGTCGTCGCGCCGCGACGGGGGTCGGAGTACCTTCGGCGCGCGGTAGCTGCCCGCGACGGGGGTCGATGTGGCGTTGTCGGCGGGGGTGACGCCCCCCCGACGCGTATTAAGAAACTCGGAGTAGTCACGGGCGGGATGGTAAGGGCAGCGGTGCCCACGAGCAAGTACCAAGGGCAAACTGTGGTGGTAAAGGTTACTTCCGAAGTTTCTTACTACGCGTCGGGGGGGGCATCACCCCGTCTGACAGCCCCACATCGACCCGTCGCGAGCAGCCGCCGCGCGCCGACGGCGCTCCGACCCCCGTCGAGGCGCGACGCCGAGGCGACGCCGAGGCATGGTGGTAAAGGTATTCTGGGTTTCTTGATAAGCGGGGGAGGGGGGCGTCACCCTCGCCGGGGGTTAACCACGCCTCGTCGTCGCGCCGCGACGGGGGTCGGAGTACCTTCGGCGCGCAGTAGCTGCCCGCGACGGGGGTCGATGTGGCGTTGTCGGCGGGGGTGACGCCCCCCCGACGCTTATTAAGAAACTCGGAGTAGTCACGGCGGTGGTGATGGTAATAGGCAGCGTTGCCACGCGCAGTACAAGGGCAACTGTGGTGGTAAGGTTACTCCGAGTTTCTTACTAAGCGTCGGGGGGGCATCAACCCCGTGACTGCCCCACATCGACCCCCGTAGCGAGCCGCAGCCGCCGCGCGCCGAAGGCGCTCCGACCCCGTCGAGGCGCGACCGCCGAGGGGCGACGCCGAAGCTTGGTGGGTAAAGTACTCTGGGTTTCTTTGATAAGCGTGGGGAGGGGGGCGTCACCCTCGCCTGGGGGGGGTTAACCAGCCTCGTCGTCGCGCCGCGACGGGGGGTCGGTAGTACTTCGGCGCGCGGTAGTGCCCGCGACGCGGGGTCGATGTGGCGTTGGTGGCGGGGGTGACGCCCCCCCGACGTTATTAAGAAATGTCGGGTTAGTCACGGCGGGTGATGGTAAAGGGCAGCGTGCCCGAGCAGTACAAGGGCAATGTGGTGGTAAGGTACCCGAGTTTCTTACTATGCGTATGGGGGGGCTATCACCCCCGCTGACAGCCCCACATCGACCCCCGTCGCGAGCAGCCGCCGCGCGCCGACGGCGCTCCGACCCCCGTCGAGGCGCGACGCCGAGGCGACGCCGAGGCATGGTGGTAAAGGTATTCTGGGTTTCTTGATAAGCGGGGGAGGGGGGCGTCACCCTCGCCGGGGGTTAACCACGCCTCGTCGTCGCGCCGCGACGGGGGTCGGAGTACCTTCGGCGCGCGGTAGCTGCCCGCGACGGGGGTCGATGTGGCGTTGTCGGCGGGGGTGACGCCCCCCCGACGCTTATTAAGAAACTCGGAGTAGTCACGGCGGTGATGGTAAAGGGCAGCGGTGCCACGAGCAGTACCAAGGGCAACTGTGGTGGTAAAGGTACTCCGAGTTTCTTACTAAGCGTCGGGGGGGCATCACCCCCGCTGACAGCCCCACATCGACCCCCGTCGCGAGCAGCCGCCGCGCGCCGAAGGCGCTCCGACCCCCGTCGAGGCGCGACGCCGAGGCGACGCCGAGGCATGGTGGTAAAGGTATTCTGGGTTTCTTGATAAGCGGGGGAGGGGGGCGTCACCCTCGCCGGGGGTTAACCACGCCTCGTCGTCGCGCCGCGACGGGGGTCGGAGTACCTTCGGCGCGCGGTAGCTGCCCGCGACGGGGTCGGATTGGCGAGCGTTGTCGCGGGGGTGACGCCCCCCCGACGCTTATTAAGAAACATCGAGTAGTCACGCGTGATGGTAAAGGCAGCGGTGCCACGAGCATACCAAGGGCAACTGTGTGGTAAAGGTACTCCGAGTTTCTTACTAACGTCCGGGGGGCAATCACCCCCCTGACACCCCCCTAACGACCCCGGCACCGTCGCGAGCAGGGCCGCCGCGCGCCGAAGGCGCTCCGACCCCCGTCGAGGCGCGACGCCGAGGCGACGCCGAGGCATGGGGGTAAAGGTATTCTGGGTTTCTTGATAAGCGGGGGAGGGGGGCGTCACCCTCGCCGGGGGTTAACCACGCCTCGTCGTCGCGCCGCGACGGGGGTCGGAGTACCTTCGGCGCGCTAAGCTGCCCGCGACGGGTGTGATGTGGCGTTGTCGGCGGGGGTGACGCCCCCCCGACGCTTATTAGAACCTCTAGTAGTCACGGCGGTGATGGTAAAGGGCAGGCGGTGCCACGAGCAGTACCAAGGGCAACGTGGTAGGTAACGGTGCTCCGAGTTTCTTACTAAGCGTCGGGGGGGCATCACCCCCGCTGACAGCCCCACATCGACCCCCGTCAGCCGCCGCGCGCCGAAGGCGCTCCGACCCCCGTCGAGGCGCGACGCCGAGGCGACGCCGAGGCATGGTGGTAAAGGTATTCTGGGTTTCTTGATACGCGGGGGAGGGGGGCGTCACCCTCGCCGGGGGTTAACCACGCCTCGTCGTCGCGCCGCGACGGGGGTCGGAGTACCTTCGGCGCGCGGTAGCTGCCCGCGACGGGGGTCGATGTGGCGTTGTCGGCGGGGGTGACGCCCCCCCGACGCTTATTAAGAAACTCGGAGTAGTCACGGCGGTGACAGTAGAACTGGGCGCACTAGTCGTGCTAGTAGCGAGCAGTCGTGGCAGGAGGGCAGGGAGGAAGTCAGGACGGGAGGCGTGGAGCGCGGGCACGGGAATCCGCAACGTGCGGCAGGAACAGAACGGGCCTTTGGCAGGCAGCATCTCTGCTAAAATAACCGTCCCGCAGCGACAGCGCAGTCTGACCGCCAAGGATGTTCGCCGCGAAAGCAGACTTGACAGTGAGGCAGAGGTGTCTGGAGTTGTTGTCCTCTTTTTCCTATCTCGTGGAGCCCTCGCCAGGCCCTGCGGCCATTCATGCTCTCTTCATGCCAAGTCCCTGGCATCGCTTGGACGTGTGCATTTTTTCTCGGCGAGAACCATCGAGGACCATCCTCGACCAACGAGCAAAAAAAAACACGCACGAAGCCGAAACATGCACGGGACATGGACGTCCAAGCGACGGCGAGAGTCGCGACGTCAAGCCGCCCAGTCAGCCACCGTCGCCGCAGCCTTTTGGGAATGGGGAGAGCCCGCGGCGCAGCCGCCCGCGCGGGAAGGAGGAGGAGGAGGAGGAGGAGGAGGAGGCGGAGGAGGAGGAGGAGGAGGAGGAGGAGGAGGAGAGGGGGGCCCGGCGCGGGAGGCGACCCTGACTCGGCTGCTGCGGCCCTGGCTGTGGCCCGGGTCCGAGGCGCGCAAGTCGCACGTCGCGCTCGTCAGCCCCGTCAGGCCGTGCCTGTGCAGGGAAGGCCTCCTCCTCCTCCTCCTCCTCCTCCTCCTCCTTCCTCCTCCTCCCTCCTCCCTCCTTCCCCCCTCCCTCCTCCCCCTCCCCCCTCCCTCCTCCCTCCTCCCTCCTCCCTCCTCCCTCGGGCCGCCAGCGAGGGAGGTGTGACGCCGTAGTAGCTGGAAGAGGGGGATTGATTGGGCTGGAGCGCGAGACAGGTCTCAGGTCTCGACGACTCAGTACTCCTCGCCTGTGACTTCAAACTCCTCGGCAAGCGTATTCATGAGCCATGCCCCACACTGCGCAGCGCAAGTCCAACCGATTCCGCACCCTTTACGTTTTGTTGTTCATGCTGCGCCACAGCGCACTCCTTGAGCTCAAGCCGTTGTATAAAGCAGATCACCGTGTCGCCCACACAAAAGGCATCCACTACTACATGGTGCGCAACAGGTTGTATTGCATGTTGGGCATGTATTATAGCATGCTGATGTGCAGCATGTTGCGATTGCTTGTCATATCACCAATGCCGTGTTAAATCCATAAATGCACCAGATGACGCACTTGGTAGCTTTGCACATTATTCCACATGAGCCCCACTCCATCCATCCATAACGCACCACACCCCACTTTGGCAGATTATTCGCAGCATCCCGCGTAACGGCCTCGCCATGCAATGCGAGGTGTCCACTTAGTTGAATGCAGTATCATGCGGCAGCCTATCGCGCTCATCTCATTGTACCGCCGTATATGCAGGTGCCTGCGACATTTTGCCACTGCCCAGGCGCCGCATTCTCTATGGTGGCCCCTGATGGTTGTAACATGTGGCAGCGTGCGTCTTTAGGCCTCAGAGGGTCGTAAGCTGAGACGCGCTCCTCCGCAAGCTTGACAAGGCCGTATCATGCGATATATGTGTCTTCTTCGGGTCCAAGGGTCTCACGGGCGTCTTTGGGCCACTCTGGCCCCAGCGTATCTTGGAGCCGTCTTGGGGCGGTCTTAGGGCCTGTTGGGGCCGTCGTGGGTGGTCCTTGCGCCGATGTGTGGTCATCTTAGGGCTACTTGGCGCCTGTTGGGAGGGCGTCGGGGTAGCTCTTGGAGATGTCCTGGGCCTGCTTGGGCACATCGGCTGATGCTGGGGCCTTCGGGGCATCTCGCTGCAGCTGCCGACCGTGCTCGCGCGACGTCCCGCGGGGTTGTTGGGGAATGAGGCCTCGATGCGGGCGCTGGCGCGGGCGGGTTGGGCAGAGGATACGGCTGGGAACTTTTGGATTGCGTGTCGCGCCGCCGGTTCTGGACCACCGCGCTTCGGCGCGAAAACGTTACAGTGCCGTTTTTGTTATACGTGCTCCGCGTGCGGATCATGTATTAGACATGCAGGGATTTAGTATTAAAAACAACGATGAGCTCATGCATAAATCTGTTCATAAATTGATCATGCATTAAAAGTCGTTTTGTTCTTAAACAACACATTAACAAAACATGTATTAGAAACCTCGCGCAGGCGGCTCCCGGTCCTCGCCAGCCACCCTGCCTCGCGGGACCGAGGCGAGCGAGCGAGCCCTCGCCGCGCCTCCTGGGCCCTGGGCTCGGGGCGAGCCCCCGCCGCGCCTGGGGTCGTCGCCCTCCTCCGCCGCGCTTCGGCGCGACGCGTTATCCGTTTCCCAGTCCCCGGGCCTCAATCTTCAGGAGGTAAAAAAACGCACAGACACAATGAATCGTCGATTCCCCAGAAACTGTGGGAAAATAGGGGAAGTGGGGGGGAAGACGAAGACCCAGAAAGTATGGGAAAAGATTGGATATCTGTTTATTTGTGTAGATTTATTTGTGTGCCCTGGGGCCCCTTCAAAACTTCCGAGCCTTTTTTTCGGTCCGAGCCTCCCGCCCCGCGGAGCGCAGCGGCACGCTGCCCGCTCGCAGGGCACGGCGTGCCGCCGGGGCCGCCGCCGCCAAAGAAGGTCCCGACCGCAGGCTTGGGCATGTTGGTCTGGCCAGGGTTGAAGTCGGGCGTGTCCCTCTGAAGGAGGAGTATTCACGAATAATCTGTTCAGTCTTAAAAATATAGCTTCAGTGTGAAAAATCAGAACTAGAGTATCACTATTGCGGGACAGTGGGTTCGTACATTTCACTACTGCGTTGTTGTTCACGCATGCTGTAGTGGCGCTTCGTGCGCAGTCCTACTGTACTTGCGTTCAAGTTTCCGTTTGCCGGTGAAGCGGAGTGTAATGTTTGATGGTTGGTGGTGATTGCTCGTGAGACCCCCCCCCGCGCGGCGCCGTCGCAGTCGTTATCTATCGCTCCTGGGGGGTGACTTAGTCTCGGCCAGATGTTTCATTCGTCACGGCTGGGGGGGGGGGTCGAGCGTTTCGCGAGTCAGTTTTGTTACTCGTGCCTCCCGAGACCGGGGTCCCGCGACGCACTGCCGGGGGTGACGGGCGCAGCGTGCCGCCGGGGCCGCCGCCGCCAAAGAAGGTCCCGACCGCAGGCTTGGGCATGTTGGTCTGGCCAGGGTTGAAGTCGGGCGTGTCCCTCTGAAGGAGGACTATTCACGAATCATCTGTTCAGTCTTAAATATAGCTTCAGTGTGAAAAATCAGAACCAGAGTATCGCTATTGCGGGACAGTGGGTTCGTACATTTCACTACTGCGTTATTGTTCACGCATGCTGTAGTGGCGCTTCGTGCGCAGTACTACTGCACTTGCGTTCAAGTTTCCGTTTGCCGGTGAAGCGGAGTGTAATGTTTGATGGTTGGTGGTGATTGCTCGTGAGACCCCCCCCCGCGCGGCGCCGTCGCAGTCGTTATCTATCGCTCCTGGGGGGTGACTTAGTCTCGGCCAGATGTTTCATTCGTCACGGCTGGGGGGGGGGGTCGAGCGTTTCGCGAGTCAGTTTTGTTACTCGTGCCTCCCGAGACCGGGGTCCCGCGACGCACTGCCGGGGGTGACGGGCGCAGCGTGCCGCCCGGGCCGCCGCCGCCAAGGAAGGTCCCGACCGCAGGCGTGGGCATGCTGGTCTGGCCAGGGTCTGAGTCGGGCGTGTCCCTCTGAAGGAGGAACATTCACAAACAATCCAAAAAATTGTCTGGGGACGATGCTTTAAGTATTCTTGTACTTGTTTGGGAATATGTCTTGACCGTTTTCAAGGCTTGGGCATGTTGGTCTAGCTTGGGCATATTGGTCTGGCCAGGGTTTGAGTCGGGCGTGTCCCTCTCAAGGAGGAAACAAGCAATCTAAAACAATTTGTCTGGGGACGATTCTTCCAGTCTATTCTTTTACTTGTTTAGGAGTATTTTTTTGACCATTTTCATTTTTGTTTCAAAATCCGCCTGCAGGGGGGTTGTCTGGGGACGATTCCTCGAGTATTTCGTTTATGTGTTTGGGAATCTGTTTGGACCATTTTCCATTTTTCCTCCAAACTCCGCCGGTAGGGGGACATGCCCGACCTGAGCCAGGGTTCACCACGCGCCCGTGGGCGAGGCCCGCGCGCCTCCGCCGCACGCCGGGCGTGCGGCAGGGGGACAGGCCCGACTGGAGGCTGGGGGGGGTCCTCGGGCCAACATGCCGCGAGCCGTGGTCTCGAGTCGCGGTTCGACTGCTTCGGGAGGGCGTTTCTGTTACCAGCCTCGAACGTGGCCCTGCCCCTAAGATTGAGACGGCAAAAGGCGATGACAGTCTCAGGGACTCGCCCTCAAAAAATAAGGGAATCCCCAAGATTGGCGTCGTGATGAGGAGGTGCCCAGCATGGGGATATGGATCTGTTCCAGGCTGGGAAGTTTGGGGGCAATGTTGTGCCGTCACGGGGCCCTCTGTGGGCAGGTCGCACACGCGCGGAGGCGCGGCACCCACAGGCAGGATGTTCCAGAGAGGGCCTCCCCTTTGAGGGTCGAAGGAGTTCGTTGTCCCTTCCTCGGCGGAAGGCGGCGGAAGTATAACGGGGCTGGATACGCCGGCGGAAGCCGGCGCATGGCCGGCACGTCTGTCGTCCGCCTCACGTGTCTCCGTGGGCTCTCACATCGATTACAGATCCGATGGCGCCGCGATTGCGGTAGGCTTTCAGCTAGCCCTTCACAAGACCTCCAGAGCCTGACGTAGCAGGGGGTAGTGCGTCCAAAAGCATGGCCGGCAGAAGTAAAATTTGGCCCCCAAGAGGTGACAACGTTTTTGGTTTCAGGGTTTCTGGGGCCCGCCGTACGCGGAGAATTGCCGCGGAACAGCGTATGCCGTCGATGAGGGCTCACCGCGGGCGGCTCGTCGGGGGTGTGCCTGGCTGGGACTTGGCTCGATGGCGTTGCGACATAGCTTGGCCTTGTGCAGGATTGCCGACGCACAGCATGCAGAGAGTGTTTCCGCAAACGCTTCAAATCAAACAAGAAAGCAAGAAACGAACGCTTGCTGGAAGGTAATTACGCGCGAGGTTGCTAGTAGGAGGTGGGCTGCCTTCTAGAAGTTTACGGGCACCCAGCCATAGAGCCCTGACGCTATACCACTCCACTTCGAACCAGAGGGTATACCTACTTGACCCTTGATCACCAGAAAGAGTTTGGAGCACCAAGGAAGTACCAAAACTTGAGGGTGGTAACGTGTCAGGCCCTGGCAGACGCTCGTTCGCCACTGCTTCGACACTTGTTCGACACTTTACTGGGTGCTCGAACAATTGTTTTGGGATGTGGTCCTTAAGTACGATGGGAGCAACATAAACAGAGACGAGCTTTCCGCTCCGTTCAAGGTGTCCAGCGTGCACCGCGGTACGTTAAATAGGTTGCCCGCCCGAACTTCCCTATTTACGGCGATTGGCGCTCTCTAACGGACTGCGGCCCAATCCGCCTCCGTGGCCTGGGAGCCTCCAGGGGTTCTCCGAGGGTTCTCCAGGAGTTCTCTTGGGGGCCTCCGGAGGGGTCCTCGGGGTCCCGTTCGGGGCGATTTTGGGATTGTCTTGGGTGGGTAAGGTTTTGGACTGGCCCGGCGCACCCCCTGAAGCTAAAAAAGCTGTGATTCGATAACTTGGGGTTCCGAGAGGCTCAATCGCCACACCGTGGAAGTGCCCGGAAGAGCTTGGGAAGTCTGGTAAATCGAGGGTCCTGGCTTCTACGAGTCCTAAGGCCTTTTTTCGGGTGTTGCTAGAAGTACCCCTGGCCCAAGGTCCCCCCGGGATTCTCGGGGTGGCCCAGACGGCCTCCAGGGCACCCCTCACGAGGCCCAGGGGGCCCCAGGGGCTCCAAAATCGTGCGAAAAGTTGGGGCCTTGGGCCAGGGGCACTTCTAGCAGCACCCGATTTTCTTGCTTTGGCAATTTTATTAGTTTTGTGGCGCTCTACTGCGTGTGCCAGGCACGGTGGCGGATCGCCTTGGTCCACTGGGACGTCGGGGCATCCATCGTGCACCCTGCAGGGCTTTGAGCAGCCTCGTCCATCCTAACGCACCCAGGCGCGCTGTCTCCCCCGTGCTTGGTAGTGAACTCGCGGCACGGCACGTCACAGGTACCGTCTCCTTATCTTCAATACAGCCTAAAGGCAGTGGCTTGGAAGGTTTGGCTGATCTGAGCCCTATGCTCCTGCCACAGGAAGTGTTGAGTCCGGCATGTCCCGCCACAGGAGGAGTTTTCCAACAATAATCAAAAAGTGGTCAGGGGATTTGCTTAAAGACGTTGTTTGACAATTTCGGTATATGCTTACAGTATTGTTATACGTTCGTCCAAAATCCCCCTGTCGGAGGACAGGCCCGACTTGACGCAAGTATCACTTCCAGATCTTCAGCATAACCTAAAGGCAGTGGCTTGGAAGGTTTGGCTGATCTGAGCCCTCTGCCGCAGGAGGAGGCCACGGACATGTGACAGCGGTGCGACTCTCACAGCTGCCACGGTCCGAAGCAAACATCACACGGAGATTGGACCACACCGTGCGCCAAGACAAGGTTTAAGTCGGGCCTATCCCTCTACAGGAGGAATGTTCCCAAATAGTCAAAACATAGTCTGGGGATGATGCTTTAGCATTTGTTTGACAATGTTTGAGCATGTCTTGGCTATTTGATATATTTCGTCCAAAAGCCGCCTGTAGGGGGACACGCCCGACCTAACACAAGGTGCGTTTGAAATGTGTGCACCATTCTGTACTTCAGCTAGGGCCATGATTTAACAGCCATGTTCGCGGCGCTGAGGCGAGAGAAAGATTTAGTAACGGCATGCCTTTCACGTGGCATCGTTCGAAACCCTGGGATGAGGTCGCACATTTTGAGCAAGTAATTACCAGGGGGAGGGCGATGTTGTCAAAGAGACGCGCTCATCTACCCATGTAGCTGCTGCAACGCGCGGGCTGCACATATTTTGTGACAAGACATTCGGTGGGCGATGTGCCCGAGTTGAAAGACGGTATGTTGCAAATGAGCCAGCGATGCTTCGATGTTCCAAATGAGTCACGAACATGAAAGTTGCAACGCACATCTCCACCAGTGGGCGAACGCATGCTTCGGAAAAGGCTTCCAACAATGAGGGGACAGACAAAGCAAGGAGCCGACACTGCAGCCGTCGAACAGCGCGGCGGCACATTGCATCGTTACCTTTAGGACTGCAAGTCTCCTGCCGGTGGGCTCGACTTCGAACACGAATCGCTGCCCGTCTGTGTGAAAATACTGGCTGTCTCCCCAATTAGAGCTGTGCGTAGCCCGCCTAGCTTTTACGGGGAGCGGTTCGCTCTTGCCCCGCATACCAAAACATGTTTTAAATTGTGTGGAAATATTGGCAGCTGCCATTCTTACACCGGACTGTTTTGGTACACGCTCGCGCGCGGAGCGAGTGGAGCGCCGTGCAGGCAGGGCTCCCCCCCCCCCGCCCCCCCTGCTCCCTTACACTTATGTCGGGCCTGTCCCCCATACAGGGGGATTTTCGAAGAAATGAAAAATATCTAAAACATAACCCAAAAAGGTCAAAACATATTCAAAAAATAGTCCCCAGACTATTTTTTGACTATGCTTGGAATTTTTTGGGGGTATTTTTTTCGTCGAAAATCCCCCTGTAGGGGGACAGGCCCGACTTAACCTTACAGTGGACGCCAAGCTGTGAGAACTTTCCGAGCTTCTCTGGCACGTAGAAATCGATCGCCCTCCCCACACACACGTCGTTTCGTTTGTCGTCCACTGTTCGTCTGTCGGTCGCGTCGTTTCCTGATCTTCGCCTCGCTCCTCATACTGTAGTTGTTGGACGTTGTCGCTACTAGTTCATACTGCGCTGAAGGCTCAGGCTATTCGGGCGAAACTCGTTCCCCCGCGTGCCCACACGCCTGGCGGTGTGAGAAAGAGGCGGGCAGCTGGAGAAGCAAGAGCACGAATGCGACGCGAGTATGCACGTTTGCATGTGTGAGCAGATGTCCACTGTGCAGCCCAATGGTGTGCGGCGACGGGTGTGGCAGAGAGCGGGAATAGCGAAGTTGCGGGAGGTATTCTGCTCAGACACACGGAGACGTCCACGAGTGGCTCATGTTCACCCAGCTTGCGCAGAAGGCGGGCGTGCGGGCCATCCACCACCCTCATGTTGCGCCTTCGCTTCCTTTTGCCTCCTCCTCCTCATCCGCGAATTCCTCCTAGTCTTCCTCGCCAGTTTGATCATGCCCCGCTCCTCCTCCCAAGCGGGTTTCCTCCTAGTACTCTTGGAACCATGTCTTGGCATCGCTCGGACGTGTGCATTTTTCCTTCGGCGAGGGCCATCGAGGAGCATCCTTGATCATTCGGCGAAAAAAACACGCACGAAACCGACAAAAAATACAGGGAATGGACGTCCGAGCGATGGCGAGATGTACGCAGTGGGATACGGGGGTGGGGGAAGGAGGACTAGGCGGGCTGGCGGGCCGGAAGACGTCGTGACCAGCACGGATTGGCCCGTACAGTCGGGGCCTTGAATAAGGAACCCTTTTCGTTGGGGAGGGGCTCCGTGTTCCTTGATTGGTTCGCAGCTTGCCTTGGATTTTCTTTAGGTTTCCGATCGGAAATCGAAGGTTAACTTATGGAAAACAAGGGCCTCGTTTCTTATTTAGGGTTCATTAGGTCAACGCCTCGACTGTATTTCTGTCTGTCTGTTTGCAGTACTTGTTGGGCGCGGCCTTCCACAGGAGAACGCATCAGCAGTCCTCATATTCGTGCGTCTCCTCCCCGTCGCCTATAACTCGGAGGTTGATAGACCTCCTACCTTGACACGTCGATTCGTGAATTGGCCGTTTTCGGTTCGCGAGGGGGCGTCGCAGCCGTCAATTGTGCGGGTCCAGGTCCGTCGGTTTCCGTCCCAGGCTGTTTTCATTAAGGGGAGGTTTACAACCAGGGCGGTTTGTCCACCGCCGAATAACATCATTGTATGGTTTGTAGTGATGTGGTTGTTTATTGTTACCCACTTCGTCCTCAACAGTATCGACCTGCTCGCCATCGTGATCAGCATGATATTCGTTCCCCCCCCCTCCCCTTGATTACCATACCCCTTCGCCAACGACTAGCAGCAGTACGGTTGCTACTTGTGTTCATGTTCATGCTCGTTGTCATACCCTTTTTCGACAAGCAGTTGCTTTACGCCTACCACTGTTAGACCAAGGTTTGCCCTTATACCTCGGGTATTGCTACAACCACACGCCTACGATTGCAATGGACACCACAGGTATTGCACCAGTTTGGCACGACGATTGCTACTACTTCCACAAGTACTTGTACTTCGGCCATCACGTCTAGACTTGATCATGCGTTGTTCACTGCGCGTGCGCCTGCTACGACTACTTCGACATGCGCCCCCACGTCTGCGTGCATCGCCCCCCGTGACTGTACAGTACATTGCCGCAGGCCGCACGTTGCTTACGATATTCGTGTTTGCCGACGGAGGAGCGCGGAGAAGATGTTGTGGATGGCAGCTCTACCTGCTGAAATGGCGCTCGATGAGGAGCATCACGTCAAGCTGTTCAGTGCCGACGCCTCCGTCGTGAAGGTCGTGCACAACGCGCGCAGGGATGCGGAGGTCCTGTCCTGGCCCAGCGCAGCGCGTGGACGAGTTCGGGCGCAGTGCGGCGTGTGTAGAGGCGACCCGCTCTCGCCAGCGCCATTCGAGTTAGTCGTTGCGCGAGTTTTGGCAGGTGTCGAAACGTAGCGGCCGTACAGTGGGGGCACGCATCAAGAAACCATCTGCTTTTCGTCAGGGTGCCATGGGTTTCTTCGCTCCTCGCGCTGCGCGGTGACTTCCCGTGGCCGTTGAAGAAGCTGATGCGTTCAGGGTGCTTTGCGCTTCCCCCGAGTTGCACCTCTCGCACGGGTCTTCAGGGCTGGGTTTCTCGCGAGGGTTTCTTGTGGCTGCGACAGCACTGTACATGTGCTGGGGCTCCGAAGTGGTGCCGGGCTGGGACGGAATTGACCCATGTCGTTTTCGCAGTTGATTGTCATTAGTGGCGCGATTCCGGCTTCCCGTGAAACTTCGAAGGATCTACGAAGTTGGTGAGGAATTGATCCAGTCTTTATGATGGCACGTTTGCGATACGTTTGCGTGCCATATTTCGGTATGGCATGTTTTGTTGTGGTTTGTTGTGCGGAGTGCTGTGCTACGCCGTGTAGTGCGGTCAGTCAGCGCGTTTCGCCTACGACTTCGACGCCACGAGAGTCGTCCTCTTGTCACCGCCATTCGGGCCTCCGAGGGCCTGCTGAAGCAAGCTCCTCCTCCCCATCCTCGTCTTTCACTCCCGGTGCCCCTCGTGGTTTCTCCCTCCTCCCCTCCCTCCTCGCGGCGCCCACCCCGACCCCTCCTCACCGACCCCTCCTGACGAAAATCAGGAAGTCGACGACGACGACGACGGCGTCGAAGACAATAACGGCGACACCGACGTCGATAACGGCGATAGCGACGACGACGGCGGCGATGACGACGTCGACGATGACGACGACGACGACGACGACGACGACGACGACGACGACGACGACGACGACGGGCGACGACGCCGACGCCGACGCCAACGACGACGCCGACGGCGGCGCCGACGCCGACGCCGACGCCGACGCCGACGCCCACGCCGACGCCGACGCCGAAGCCGACGCCGACGCCGACGACGCCGTCGCCGACGCTGACGCCGACGCCGATGCCGACGCCGACGACGACGAGGACGACACCGACGACGACCACGACGACGACGAGGATGACGACGACGACGACGACGACGACGACGACGACGACGACGACGACGACGACGACGACGGTGGCGCCGACGACGCCGACACTGACGCCGACGCCGACGACGACGCCGACGCCGACGCCGACGACGCGACGCCGACGCCGACGCCAACGCCGGCGCCGACGCCGACACCGACGACGACGCCGACACCGACGCCGACGCCAACGCCGACGCCGACGACGACGCCGACACCGACGCCGACGACGACGACGACGAGGCCGACGCCGACGCCGACGACGACGACGACGACGACGAGGAGGACGACGACGAGAACGACGACGACGAGGACGACGACGACGACGACGAGGAGGACGACGACGACGCCGACGACGACGACGACGACGACGACGACGCCGACGCCGACGACGACGACGACGACGACGACGAGGACGACGACGACGCCGACGACGCCGACGCCGAGGACGACGACGACGACGACGACGACGACGCTGACGCCGGCGCAGGCGCTCGGCGGCCTGGCCACCGAGGCCCCCGCAGCGGCGAGCGCGCGCCTGCAGCAGACGCCCCCGAGCCGCCCGCAGGAGGGGAGAAGGAGCCCCAGGCCTCCTCCCTCCTCCTCCTCCTCCTCCTCCTCCTCCTCCTCCTCCTCCTTCTCCTCCGCCTCCAGCTCCGCCTCCAGCTCCTCCTCCTCCTCCTCCTTCTCCTTTTCGGCTCCCCCCCCTCGCGCGGACAGTAACAACTTACAGTGGGAAGCAGAAAGCAAGATTGTAACATTGGAAACTGGAACTGGTGCAGGGAGCAGCGAACCTAATCCTCGCAGCCTGCGGATATTTCAAAAGTAGCTTCCCCGAGGCAGATGCTTCTGGGCCTTCGGGCTGGGGGCAAATGCTATTACGTCACGTTGCTGTCACATGTGCGACAGGGAAACGTACTGATCTTTCGTCGCTCCTCGCTCCGCGTCGCCGCTCGAACGCCTGGTCTTCGACAGGCCGCATCAGGGAGCGAGCTGGCGTCGACGTCTGGGGCGATCCTCCTACTGCAGGGGCGCGAATATACCCCTTCCCTTAAGTCGGGCCTGTCCCTCTACAGGAGGAATATTCAAAAATAGTTCAAACAAAAAATTGTCTGGGGACTTTTTTCGGAGTAGTTCTTGGCATTTTGGGATATGTTTGGATGATTGAATATTTTCCGACCAAAAACCGCTCGCAGGGGGACAGGCCCGACTTAACCCTTCCCCCCCCGCCAAGTCCTCTCCCATCTCTGCCCGTTGAGCGCGAGGACTTTCGATCTCCGTGGGTGTCCCACCCGTGGTGTGTCGTCCTTTTTCCTTTCCTTGCGATCATCCCTGGCCCTCGGCCCCAACGGCGCCAGCCTCCGGCCAGCCGCCGTTTCGACCGAACGCCCTGCGCCCCCGGTGCGGCGCTTCCGCCTGACAGATCAGGTCGCCATCGCCGACGGCTTCCCCCCTCCTCCTTCCCGTTCCCTCTCTCTCCCCTCCTTCTCTCTCTTCCTCTTCCTTTCGCCTCCCCGCTTCCTTTGCTCTGTGCCACTCATTAGTTGCGCACCTCCCGGCTGTCGAGGTCGTGCACCTTGCTTCGGAGGAGAGCCGATCCGAACCGAATCCTCTTCCTCCTCCCTCTTCCTTCCCGTTCCCTCTCTTTCCCCTCCTCCTCTCTTCTTCCTCCTCCTTCCGCCTCCCCGCTTCCCTCTACGTGAGTCATTCGGCCGGCCGTTTCCGCGCCGCGAGTCGGCGCGACGATCCGCAGCGCGAAGGCCAGGCTGTCACGTGCGAAGTTATACTCGTTCTCTCGGCCGCTCGGCCCCCGGATCACAAGCAGGGAAGCTCGCTCCGGCTTGCCTCAAGTCGGGCCTGTCCCTCTTCAGGAGAAAATTCAAAAATGGTCACACACACACACACAAAAAAAATGGGGACGATTGTTTGAACATTCTTGGGTATTGTTTGATCATTTGTTGGGTATGTTTTTAATGTTTCGCCCCGAGTCCCCCTGTAGGGGGAAAGCTTGCCAGAGCTTGGAGGATTCTTAAGGATTCCGGAAGTTTTCTTGCAGGATTCTTGGGGGATCCTTGAAGGATTCCTGAGGACTTCTGGAGTACTCTGGTGGGTTCCTGAAGTTCTGGGCCTCCCAGGTGGGGTCCGAGCAGATGGTGTCGGAGGATCGCGCCGCATCGCCGATGCATGGCCGATGCGGCTCGATGTGGGGCCCGATTTGCTTCACGTCGACGTCGCCGATGCATCGCCCACGTCGACGAGGCATCGCCAGTGCATCGTCGATGCATCGCCGATACGTCGCCGATGTATCGGCGATGCGGCTCGATCCTCCGACCCTATCTACTTCGACCCCATCTAGGAGGCCTCTAGAAGTATTCTTGGATTCCTGGATCGAGCCCTTGGCCAGGCGCACTGGGGGACCGCATGCTCGCTCTGCGGCCAAGGCTCCGGCGTTCTTGAGGCGCGCGCTGCCGTTTGCGTCCTGCTGCTGTCTGAGCCAGAACGGCAGGCCTGCGAGCGAAGGCGTCACGCGTTTTGCTCTCGGCGAGGCGCATGCCTGCTTTTCGGTCGTCTGCCGTCGGAGCCAGAATGGCACGCATGCAAAAGCGGCGGTTCCTCCGTGCTCGGTGCATTCTCTGAGCTCTTGGCGAGGCGCCTGGGGCGCCAGGCTTCGACACTGCGTCGGAGCCCAATGGCACGCATACTTGTGCATTGCGTCACGTGCTCAGCTCTCGGCGAGGCGCAAGGCTGCCTTGAGCCAGGTTGCAGTCGAAGCTTGAGCAGCGCGTGAACGAGGGCAATCCTTTGGATAGATCGCCCCTTCACCCTCCCGATCCTTATTTAAGCAACCCGAGTGTACTCCACCTCGCCCCCCCCCTCTCTCTCCCATCGTCCTCCCTCCCTCCCTCGCCATCATCCGCCTTCCCCCCCCCCTTCTCTCATCTTCATCCCGGCTCCCTCCCCCTTCTCCTCGGGGTTGCACGTCAACGGAGCCTTCCCGGAAGCGCGAGCGTTTCCTGGGCCCCGTCCTTCTGGGAGCGCGAGCGCTTCCTCGCGACGGCCCCGCGCCCTCGCGCCCCGCACGGGCCCGCCCTCGTGCGAGCGGGGTGGCTCTTGACTCGGCTGGAGTGCTTCCTCGTGCAGGCCTCCTGCTCCTCCTCCTCCTCCTCCTCCTCCTCCTCCCTCCCCCTCCCCTCCTCCTCCTCCCCTCCTCCTCCCCTCCTCCTCCTCCTCCTCCTCCTCCTCCTCTCCTCCTCCTCCTCCCCCTCCTCCTCCCCCTCCCCCTCCCCTGGCGCACGTGCCGCATGCCCCGAGCACCCTCCGCGGTGCCCTGGAGTGCTTCCTCGGGCGTTGATCGGTTCTCCGGCGGCGGAGGCCCTGGGGACCCTGGGGGGCGCCCAGCGCGGCAAGGTGCCGCTGTCCGCGGGCAAGTCCTGGACCCTGTTGGCCTCGAAAAGGCCGACGTCGCCTCCTGTCCCGCGCCAAGGGCGAGGCCACGACGAGTCCGTCCAGCTCCCCCGGAGGGGGCTCGGACTCAGACGCGTTCGGTGTTGTTGTGCCTCCGCCGGGCAGCGCCAGGCCCGTCCCCAACACCTCCTCCCCCCTTTCCTGGGGCTGGGCAGGCTGCGTCGATGGGCAGCCCCGCGGCCGCGGAGTGGAAGAAGCCCGAGCACCCGCCCGGCGGCTTCTTGGAGGGGTCGGCCACAGGGTGCTCCCCCTTGAGCGGCAGGAGGAGGAGGAGGAGGAGGAGGAGGAGGGGGGGGGGTGGGGGGGGGAAGGTAAGGGCGCGAGGGAGGGGGGAGGGGGGGAGGGAGGGAGGGAGGGGGGGGGAGGGAGAGAGGAGAGGGAGGGAGGGGGGGAGGGAGAGAGGGGGAGGTTGGTTGGTTGGTTGGTTGGTTGGTTGGTTGGTTGGTTGGTGCCTAAGTAGGGAGGCGAGCGCTGGCGACCTGAAGGCACAGTGTCCTGTTTGGTCGCTGGGGGGGGGGGGGGGGGCGTCCCCGCAGGGGACCCGACAGCCCTGCGCGTGCTCCACCTGCCATCGGAGCCAGTCCGAGGACGGGGACGCCGGGCAGACGAGATGAGCCGGCCCCTTTGTGGGCCCCGCAAACGGTAGGGCCGTTTTTTCACCGTTTCCGAAAAAAATGTCCCTTGAAAAAGGAAACGGCAAAAAAATGGCGACCGGAAACGGCAAGAAAACGGCTCCAGGATTGGAACTGGAGCCGGAACCCGTCAAAAACGGCGACGGAACCGATAAAAAAACGGCGTCGGAATGGGCAGAAAAAACGGCAAAACGGAACCGGTACAGAAACGGCCCTGTCGTTTCCAGGGACCACTAAGGCCGGCCCCCCAGCGCATCGAAATCCACGGGCAGCACAGCTTGGGAGCAGCGTCGCTCCCGAAGGGCCCTCAAGCTACGAGCGACCCTAGCCCCCAGCCGGGCAACGAAGGAGCAGTCAACGGTCGAGCAATGTGTCGCCAGTCATGGCCGTTCCTCTGAGGCCTGGGCCAGAGGCGCATTCCAGAGGCGCTCCTGTGGGGAAGTGCGGAGCAACAAGCGCGGACCGCTGAAGGGAGGCGTTTAAACTGATCCAGCCCGGCCTCGGTGTGGCCCCATGCGAGGCAGACCGCAGTTCCCCTCACTGTGGAGGACAGGAGGCCTTTTGATCCCCCTCGAAGGAGAGAGGGCCCGGACGGGAAGGGAGGCGGGGGGCAGGAGACGGAGCGCTTCGTCGCGTCACTCTGCCAGGCCCGCTCCGTCTCGCCTGTCCGCCACGGAGGGGGCAATGGGGGCAGGGAGAGGCAAGGGAAGAAGACGGGGAGAAGCCACATATCAGGAGGGAAAGAAGCACACAGGCACAATTAATCGTCATTCCCCAGAAGATAAGGGAAAATATGGGAAGTGGTGGGAAAGACGAAAACCCAGAAAATATTTGAAAATATGGGGAATCTTTTTATTCGTGTGTATTTATTTGTGTGTCCTGGGGCCCCTTCAAAGGGGGCAGGGAGAGGCAAGGGAAGAAGACGGGGGGTAGCCACACAGAAGGGAAGCGAGGGCCAGGGGGAGGTGCCCCGCCCCGCCCCGCGGCCTCGCCCTCGCCCGGAAGCCGTTTGTTCTTGGCATCGCTCGGACGTGTGCATTTTTCCTTCGGCGAGGACCATCGAGAAGCATCCTTGATCATTTGGGGGAAAAGCCACGCACGAAACCCAAAAAAACACAGGGAATGGACGTCGGAGCGATGGCCAGTGTTTGGCGAGCTCGGGCCCAGAAGCGCGCGGCAGTGGCGCCCAGGCTCTTCGCTCAAGCACCCCCCCGCCTGGTGACAGCCCAGCCCCTCCTGTGCGCACGGCGAGGAGTTGCCTCAGCAGGCCTTCCATCAGGAGGGGACAAAGAAATATAGACACAACTGACCGTCGAATCCCTGGAACATCTTTCAACATATGGGAAGTTGGGGGGAAGACGAAAACTCCGAAAATATGGAAATATGGGGGATCTTTGGATTTGTGTCTATTTCTTTGCGTGTCCCAGGGCCACTTTCTTCTCCGCTCGCGCCTGCTCTGGCCGAGCGGAGCCCCTTGCGTTCGGCCGCCCAGGCCAAGCAGCGCTCCAGCGCGCGATGTGCGTCTTCTCCGGGGTCGTTGCCGCTTCGCCCCTGCTTCCCTGCCTTCTTGGTGCGTCGGTCGGATGAGATGCGCCTTGAGTCTCGCAAGAGATCGATGCCCCAAGAGGGGCTTCAGGACAGGCTGGCCTGGAAGGCGTTCACGAAATCGATGTACGACTCACCCCGCAGCTGGATGTAGGGCTCTGGCAGCACATGTGCCGCCGCTCGCGGTCCCCGGCTCCAGCGGTCATTGTTGTTCTGTTGCGCGCCATTGCCTGCACATTTGATCAATGTTGAGGCTGGGACCCTTTCGTCCTCGTTTGCCAAAGCGGCCAATCGAATATCTCCCACCGAGGGAGCATGTGTGGTGATAAAGCTACCCCGAAATTCTGCCCCGTAGATCTATGATTCGCCCGTGGACCAGAGGGCGGGCCCGTTTCCTGGCCACATCTACGACCGCCCCACTTGCGCCCGACAACGTCCAGCCCAGCTCTGCCCCAAGCCACGGCCCCTGTTCCGCCATACAGGCCCCCCAAGACCGCGGGGCCCCACTCGCGGGCGTCTTGTGTTTCCCCCGCCCCCCGGCGCGAGTGCCAGGAGCCACCTCGCAGACTGAAGGCCCCCCTCCCTCCGCCCGCGCCGCAAAGACCCTCACTGCAATGGACAGCGGGAGGGCCGCGCTTGCCACGCGCCCTGCCAGACTGGCACCCTGCCCGCTGGCCGCCGCCAGCCTCTGGGAACGCGACGGCGCTCGAGCGCTGGCCCGCCTCGCCAAGCCAGGGACCTCGACGGGATCCTTCGTAGACAGATGCAGGTACAGCGGTGGCCAGGCAGAGGGGAGGCTCGGCGCGGTGGCCCGGCTACTCGCAAGCGCCTACTCGCAAGCGTCCAAAAAAAAATGCGTCTTCCTATTATGTAGTGTATCGTAAATCTTCCGCGATGGATCCAGGCCGTTTGCGAGTAGCTATTTTTCGAGTAGTGGAACGCGCTTGTCGAAGAATGTCCAGGGACTGCCGGGCCCCTCCCCAAGAGGATGATAACAACACGCAGGGCCATCCGCATGGAACACGGCCGCCATGCGCAGCGGGGCCGCGAGATCCATGGCCCACGACGCCTGGAGAGGCGCTGATATTACCTCGGGCGTGCCCCTCTACAGGAGGAATGCACATTGCTCACTTGTAATTATTCGAAAGTTCTTTTGATTTTTGGGGAGAACAAGATCCTTTCATTTCTAATTGTTCTGTCCTGGGCCCCTTCCAGGCCACTATGGAGCCAGGAACAAACAATCAGAAACGAGCACAAGTAGAAATGAGCACGATTAGAAATGAACGACGTGTATTAAGACATAGTCAAAGAAATAATCAGGGGACGATTTGTCGAGTATGTTTTGACCATGTTGGGATACTTTTGGACTATTTTCCATTTTTCGTCCAAAATCCTCCTGTAGGAGGACAGGCCCGACCTGACGCTAAGAAATTCAGGAGCCGGGAGGAGTTCGCCTCCATTGGGCGCAAGGGCCCAGAGGCGCACGAGTTCCTGGCGCGGGGTGCTGGAACCCAGCCAGACGCGGTTGCCCCAAACCGTGGGGATGGTGGCACCGATGCTTACGCCTTGTCCTGCTGCGTGTAGTTCCCTGGTCCATTCTTTTATAGATGTCGGGAAGGCAAGCGAGGGAGGGAGGGAGGGGGGAGGGAGGGACAAAGGGAGGGAGGGAGGGAGAAAGACGAGGAGGAGGAGGAGGAGGAGGAGGCGGGAGGAAGGGGAGCCCAGTAATGCTCCCCAGCCGGCGCATCCTCTTCCCCCCTCCTCCCCGCGGCAAAGACCCGCGGCGCTAGAGGAGGACGCAGGAAGAGGAGGAAGGAGGAGGATGAGGGGGACTGACAAGGAAGGGAGGAGGAGGAGGAGAAGGAGGAGGAGGAGGAGGAGGAGAGGGAGGAGGGGGAGGAGGAGAAGGAGGAGGGGGGAGGAGGAGGACCAGGATGGAGGATGGATTCTTTCCCACCTGACAGGTTGGGGGTGATAGATTTGAAGGGACGGGCCCGCCCGCCAGCCCTGCATACCGCGACCGCCAGGTCCAAAGTATCCCGGTTGGTCCCTGAGTCTCTCGCTTCGCCGCTGCACACCGCAGCCGCCAGGCCAAAAATATCCTGAGTGGTCCCTGAGACTCGCTCGCCCAGAGGACACGACGTCACGCAGTCCACAGGCACCCAGGACAGACATCAAGAACGCGTGTCAGCATCATGCGGGAAGAGCAGCAACGCCTTTCTTATTCCTACTGCGCCAAGGGATTTACCTCCATGGCAGACGCCCAGCACATACACCGTTAGGCTGCATACCAGGAGCTGACATCAGGAGCCGACAGCAATTGAGTACATCATGGAAGACAAAAGCAGGCAGCACTGACATACAACAATAACCAAACACATTAACACCACACACAGCGGAGGCAATCCTTCGCAAAACACTACAAAGAGGCATAACGCAGACAGCGACACATACCGATGTAGACATATTTGATACGCAAATGCATGTAATACCATCTTCAATCACCAAAATTGGCTCTTGTTGTTAGCAACCTACACCAACACAAGGCATCAATACCATGAATCGTGGTCATACCTCAACAACAACAACATGATTGGCGTCACGACTTCATACCCCTACATACACCTAGAACAGACATCACTACTGTACCCGTAGTATATGTACGAGAGTGATAAGGAGATGAGAGGATGGGTGCACCTTTCGGTGTGCACTTGGCGCCAGACCAGGCTCGCACTATGTAAATACATGCGGTGCAATCTAGGTGGTGCAAACTAGGTGCTGCCAGTGTGTGGCGCAAAGCAATGCTGACCAACGAGAGGCAGCACAGCAATGCGATGCGATGCAATGCGACGCAATGCGATTGCAACACAATGCAACGCAATACGAAGCAATGCTTCGCGATGCAAAGCGACGCAATGCGATACAACGCAATACAACGATATGAAAAGCACTACAAAACAATGCAACGGACATCAAGGCATTGTAAGGCAATGCGAAGCACTGCCATGCAACACAATGCAATGCAAAACAAGACAAAGCGCTGCAAT